GAGTATGTAAAGAGCACAGGAAAGACAGGGACAAGAATCCCTACTCTGGAGGTGTTCAGCCTTTAGGTGGAAAGAAAACACGCATAGGTAACATGCAAACATCAGCTTGTACTGCATCATTTCCTGATTTTAAACCTCCCAGAGTAAGTCCAGATTCTCAAGGCCCTCCATAATCCTACCCCCACTCATCTAACAGTGTGAGAAGGTAGAATGGACACTGCAGGATTTTTTTAAAATATGTTTATATTAATTTTAGAGAAGGAAGGCAGAGGGAGAGAAGGATAGAAACATCAATCAGCTCCTCCTGCATATCCCCTTCTGGGGATTGAGCCTGCAACCCCGGCATGTGCCCTGACCTCAAATCGAACCCTGACCTCCTGGTTCAGCGGTTGACACTCAACCACTGAGACACACCATCTGAGCAACACTGTAGGATTTAAGAGGAAAATTGGTCAAGCTCCTCTATGGTAAAATAGCAACCCTAGCTGCATTTAAGTTGTAAATCATCTTCTGTCTTTAAGTGTCTTTCATTAAAGGGCAATTTTCAAAAAAGGCCTCTAACTATAAATCCTTATCAGCAAATTCAATGGTTATCAGTCAACAATTTAATAGTGCTTAAAGGAATAAACCTCTGGATCTCTTTCTCCTGCCTATCAGGAGCTCATTAAGTATCTGGTGAATAAATGAACGCACCTGCTAAGTAAGTGAGAAGTCAAGTGCAGGTAATTACAGCTTGAAGAGGAATAAGGACTTTAGTAAGAGACCTGATAGGGAGGTAGCAAATGCCAAATACCCAATGAGGACTTTGTAAACTAAAATAAGAGTTCTTAACTGTTCAACAACTCTCAAGTATACATTTTTGTCAAATTACATCAATTTCCAAAGAAAGGAAATAAATAAAAGTTAAAAAAAAGTCTACCCCTTAATTTTAAATTTTCCCAATCCTTTGTTACCTGCCAAATTAAGAATATAAAGCAAATACTTACCCTGGCCGGGTAGCTCAGTTGGTTAGAGCGTCGTCCTGCTACGCCAAGGTTGTGGGTTCAATACCTAGTCAGGGCATATACACAAATCAGTCAATGAATGCATAAATAAGTGGAACAACAAATCAATGTTGCTCCCTCGCTCTCGCTCCTTTCCTTTCTCTAAAATCAATGAATATAAATTTTTTTTAGCTCCTCCCACTTATACTTGTTTTTTGATTGTTTACCCTTAGTGTTTTTTGATTGTTTACTCTTAGTGTTTTTTCAGAGACACATAAATTCACTCATTCATTTACTCAACAAATATGTACCTAGCACAAACTATGTGCCAGGCATTGTTCTAGGTCCCAGGGACAACAAAAGAAGACAAAATAAAGTCTTAACGCTCATGGAGCATACCTTCTAGTGACAAAGCACATACAAGCTTAAGATATTTTTATTGCATACACATAATATAGTCTTATGTTCTAGCAATAAGTATCTAGCATATGCTAGTAACACTGTTCATAATACATCTTGACCTCTGCAGGGAGAATAATATTCAAAAAAAGAAAAATCTTTAGGCATCCTATACGGGCATACTTCAAGATATTTCGGGTTTGGTTCCAGACCACCATAATAAAGTGAGTACAGCAATAAAATGAGTCATAATCTTTTTACTGGTGTACGGGCTTGTCTTCGATTTGTAAAAAAGCAACATCTGTGGAGCACAATAAAGCAAAGTGCAATAAAATGAGGTTTGTCCATACTTAAAATATTTGAGAATTCCTGACCGAAGAAAAATCTTTTTTTTCCCCACTAATATATTTTATTGAGTACTTAGTAAAATATGAGGCATAGCAGTGGGAACAGGACAAATAAAATACCAGAAATCAGTAATTTTAAATTCAAATAGGGGGAAAAAAAAGAACAAATCTCTCTCACATACGCACATCTCTCACAAGGACAACATAAGCAAAGTGCTATATTGGAACTTAAAAACCAGAGATAATCACGAGTTCAAAGGAACCATGGAAAACTTCCTAAGGGAAATAGCCCTGGTAACTGAACAGGCTTTTATCAGAAGAAAATGGGTGAGGGTAGCAGGTGGGGCAGCAATAAGCAAAGATATATAGGATATATTTGGAGAATATAAATTTAATCTTTGGTTGAAACACAGGATCCAAGCAATGGAATAATGAAAGATAAAGCTGGAATAGCCATTCAAGCATAAGTTACAAAACACTTTGAATCTCAAACCAAGGAACCTGAACAAATTTTAATTTGGAAGGAAATAAAGGTATTGGAAAATTTGTGTTGGATGATCACATAATTTCTGTGAAGTCCTGTGGGTAGATATGTGAGAAGGATGGATGGTGAGGAAGTAAAGATAAGGCCTTTTAAATTACTAAATAAATCTGGTGGAAAGAAAACAAATTCTTGGCTTTCTGACCAGGCAAAACTCAAAACAGTTTAGGTACTAGCTAAAAGAAGAGTCTCTAAAATGAAAGGATCTGAAGATACAAAAAAAAGATAAAACCACAGTACAAGATCCTGAAGAAAGGACTGACATCAAGACCACAGTATCAATCTCTTCTATTAGTGATCTTCAAACTGCAGCTGATAGGCCATTTGGCCTTGATCTCAGTGAAGAGAGAATGTCCTGGAAGTTATGATTTAATGGAGTAAAAAACCATTTTGCTCTTAAGACTTAGTGGAGATAAGGATGGAAAAGAAACAGCATAAGCAATATCAGTTCTCAAGAGCAGTTGTTGGGTGATAGTGTTAAGCCAAATCCAAATGTATACTTTTCTCTCTCCCTGAAATGAATCCTTTCCCTCCACACCTACTTATTCAAATACACCCAGCCTTTCAGGCTTAATATAAGTCCCACTTCCCAAAATTCTCAAGGTGGAAGAAGATTCAAAGTGCATACACCCACCTAATTCAGAAATTAGTTGTAACCTGGACCTCTGAACATTTTCAGCACTGGAAAAGGAATGCTTCCTCTCTTGAAGCTGCCCATTCCACTTCTCCAGCTCTCAGTTTTATAAGGTCTTTTTTTAAATATTGGGTTGGAACTTGAACACTTACAGCATTTACTAAATACTCCTAACTGTGAATTCTATAGTTTATGGCAATGGTTCTCAACCTTCCTAATGCCTTGACCCTTTAATACAGTTCCTCATGTTGTGGTGACCCCCAATTTCATTGTTACAAATTGAACATAATTAAAGCATAGTGATTAATCACAAAAACAATATGTAATTATATATGTGTTTTCCGATGGTCTTAGGTGAGCCCTGTGAAAGGGTCGTTCGACCCCCAAAGGGGTCGCGGCCCACAGGTTGAGAACCGCTGGTTTATGGGGAATAAGTTTATTCCTTCCAAAACAACCCTTCAGTATTTGAAAAGTCTTATCAGGTCTTCTAAATATTTAACATTCCCAGCTTTCCAGTCATTTCTTATATGACAATGTCCCAGTTTTTCTCTGTTCTGGTCAACCTTCTACACAGGCACTTTAGTTTACCCAAAAACATGTTGCCTAGAACTGAACATAATACTCCTTAAGAAGTTAATTAACAGAATAGAGTAGAAACACTAACCTACTTGATATGGACACTGTCTATCTTACTACCTAAAATAGCATCAGATGTGTTTTTAAAATTGCCATACCACACTTCGATTCAACAGAGCAAGTGGTCAGCTACAACTCAAAGAAATTTTCACATAAAATGGTCATTACCTACCTACACAGAGTAGAATGGAGCTCAAATTGAAAGCTGCTATTAATCAAATGTGACAATGGCTATAAAAAGTACCTAGAAATTGGAAAGCTCTGTACAAACAAGAACCGTAGAATGCTGATCATTGTTAAAATTGGATGGCGCGTACATGAGGGTTCATTAAATTATCGTATTTTTATCTATGTGTGACATTTTCTGTAAGTTTTTTTTTAAAAAAAGCTCCACATAAACCTTCAACAGCTACCCTTCTTACAGAAACTATGATCTTAGCCCTATTTCTCCAGCTTCATCTTCCATCCTATCCTCTCTCCTCTTCTCCAACTACATGAAGCTATCTTTTGTTCCTCTTTCACCCCGTCAATATTCTGTGCCTCCATAATTTTAATACTGGCTGTTTCTTGAATCTCCCTCCGTCTAACAAAATCCTATCTTCCTGGAAACCTAAGTTTAAATAGTTCTTCCGTTAAGTCTGTCGCACCTCCAGCCTAGCAAAAAAAAAAACTAAGCCAACAGAAGGGGGTCATAAATGCTCACCAACGTTAATGAAACAAATTCTTGAGGGGTTTGCTGGCCCAAGGTCACAGAGGTTTTAAAGGTGGAGCTGAGGCTAGAATCCACTTCTCCTGAGTCCAAAACCTAATCACCTCTCCATGTTGCTACAATCGAGTAGTAGGATCGAGAAAAAGTTCTCTCATCACCCTAGTCTGTAACTCACTTTGCTAATGAACCAGCGTTTGCTGCTCACACCAAATCCAAATCACAGCATCCTCTTCTTCGCATGGAAGAGGAGGCAAAAGAGAAGAAAGGAAGCAAACGTTAAAGTTATTGTGTGAAGGGAAAGGAGGAGATTTGGGTCTTCCCACCCAAGAAATAACAATCAGAGAGCTCTCCACCGCGGGCAGCAATAGCGACTCACTCATTCGCGCACTCGATGTGCCTCGTCCCCGCGGGGGAGACAGGCCCTGCCGACAAGAAAACCTCCCCGCCTAGCGGAACTACTAACTTTAACAGCTAAACTCTAATGCCGTCTTCATCTCTTAAGGGGAGGAGCCTCGGTAACCAATTTCCAAATCCAAGTCCCAGTCCTGCACCACTATCTCCAGGACAGTAGCCCCCAATTTGCAGCGGTTCACACCGCCCCTCCAGGCTAGGCGCCGGACACTCACCGAACACTGAGAGGCACACAGCAGCTGGTCTCTCCCGTCGCCCCTCCCCTCACTCCTCCCCGCCCAGACTTACGTCATCCAGGAGCGTCGAGGACTCGGGGACAGCGCAGTTAACGGTACTTCCTCGTCACGTGACGGGCTACGCCCCTGCTTCCGCGTGGTCCCTCCCCCTCAGTCCGCCATCGCAATTACGCTCTCTGCGGCCTGCAGTTAGTGGGCCGCTGCCGGCCGAAGAGAATGCGCCGACCGGGACCGGAGGAACTCTAGGCCAAAGGGGTGAGCCAGCCAGGATCCCGGGACTCTTCCCCGCTGGAAGCCGGCGAGAGAAAATGAAACCAGGCGGGTTCCGGCGGGGGAGGGAGGGAACCAGCGGAAGGTGTCATGGCGGCCGTGCTTTGGGGTCACGTGCCCCGCCGGCCCGCCTTGGCACTTCCGGTCACGTGCCCTCAGAGTTCTCGCAGCCAGCGATGGAGGCGAGACCCCCCAGTAACAGAGGCGGTAGCGGAGGCTGCGGCGGCTACTGGGTTTCAGACTCTTCCCGGCAGCGTCGCTAAGAAGCGCAGCGGCACTCGACCGGACCCATCCCACTTTCTTACTCCCTGCCCAGGGCCGCAGCTCCCACCTGGTAAGTTTAGACCAAAGAATGGGAATGGGTGGGTGGGTGAGTAGCTGACAGGCCTGGGGGCCGCTGGACGGCGCGGATTCTGCCCCTTTTTCCTGCGTCCCTGTCGCCGTCCCCGCAACTCCCACGCTGCATTCCGGGCAGCCCGTTATTATCCTGAAGCGGGGAAGAAGCGACCCTTACTATACTTGCTGCAGGAAGCCTACCCCTCTACTGAGAGCAGGGACCAGAGCGTTCCCCCAAAGCCGGGGTCGGACGGTTCATGGGAATGAAGGACGTGGAGGCCTCTCCCTCGCAAGGGAGCCCTTCCCGTTAGGAAACGTGCTGTTAAGTCTTTCGGTTTCTGTAAGAGAAAAAGCTCTCGCCTCGGTGCCTGCACGCTGTGCTTCGCCTGTCAGCCCTACCGCTTTGAAAGCCTTAACTCGTGTGCCAGCCCACACACCCCTCCCAGGTTTGGACTGGGCCCGGCTTGATCGTCTTAAAAATAGATCACCAACACATGGGGATATGTGATTATTGCCTAAAGAACGTTTATCCAATTGACTCTCAAACATCCGTTTTAGGACCTGTGAAATGGGGAGAGGGAGAGAGATTTTTAAAAATTAACCTTTTCCCCATTAGAAGATCCGATTTTAAAACATACAAAAGCATAGTGCTTTGACTCCAAAAAGAAGTGGAACAATCCCTCCCCATGAAATCTTACCAGGAATCCTCATGTGTAAAGCAAAGTCAGAACTAGAACAGATGAAATGGAAATGTCACCGCAGGAGGGAAGATAACCTCTACCATCAGGCCTACGGCTTTCAGAGGGACCGGGCTCTGGGGAGAACGTGTGCCTTTTAGCAGACCTGAATCCCGCATTTGGCAAGGAGGGAGGGAGAATTTGGGGCCAGTACACCTGTTAGCATTGCAGCAGATCAATGGGTGATACCGAGTCTCTCCTAGGTGGTATTAAATACATGTGGTAGTGCAAATGTAAAGACAGCTTTTTAAAAATACTAGGGAGGTGGGGGCAGAGAGACAGGAGTCGGTTAAAAGCAGTGAACCAAATGATGGGCTCCAGTCAGTTATGACGGCTTCCTGTGTGCACTGCCCTGGAGACATGTCTTCACCTACTGGTCTGTCCACCTTTCAGCCCTGTTTTCCTGTGCTGCTGGTTTTTCCCTACCATTGGAACGTTGCCAAGTGTACCTTCTGCTTTCCTAGCATTCTGACCACTTTTATCTCCGGGTTACTGCTGCTAGAGGCCTCTTGTGCACCTTTCCTCCTTCCTCTTCCCCTCCCCCCGCTGTGGCTGT